CTTGAACATTTTGTATATTCTGGATATTACTCCATTGTCTGACATAGCTGGCAAAGCCCTTTGTTCTTTAGGTTGCATTTTTAGTTTGTTATCTATATCCTTTGCTATGCAAAAACTTCTTAGTTTGATGCGGTCCCATTTATCAATTATATCTTTGATCTGCCAAGTCCTTGGAACTTTACTCAGAAACTTCTTGCTTGTTCTGAGAAATCCTATGTTTCCTCCTTTCTTTCCTATACTATTTTAATGGTTTCAGGTCTTATATTGAGGTTTTTGATCCATTTTGAATTAATGTTAGTACAGGGTGCAGATAGGGATCCAGTTTCAGTTTTCTAGATGAGGGTATCAGTTCTCCTAGCTCTATTTGTTGAAGAGGCTGTCTTTTTTCCATTCTGTATTTTTGGTTCCCTTATCTAATATTAGATGGATGTACATCTGTGGTCTTATTTTGAGGTCTTCCATTCTATTCCTTTGGTCCTCAGGCCTGTTTTTGTGCCAGTATCAAGCTGCTTTTATTACTATATCTCTGTATTAAAGTTTCAAGTTTGGATTATTATACCTCTAACACCATTTTTTTTTAACCAGGATTGCTTTGTATTTCGGGACCTTTTGTAGTTCCATATTAATTTTCAGGTTATATTCTCTCTGAAGAATGACATTGGTGTTTTGGTGGGCACTGAATTTGTAGATTGTCTTAGACAGTATTGCCATTTGAATGATATTAATTCTGCCAAACCAGGAATATGTGAAGTCTTTTCATTTCTTAATGTCTTCTGTAGTTTCTTCAAATTTTTATAGATTTCATTGTAGAGGTCCTTTACTTCCTTAATTTGATTGATTCCTAGGAGTTTTTTTTTATTTTGAGATTATTGCAAATAGAGTTGCTTTCCTGATATCACTCTTGATCTCATTGTTAAAGTACAGAAAAGCTACTGACTTTTTTTTTTAATTGTGAAAATACTGTACAGAGGGGTTACAATTACATGGGCAAGATAATGAGTACATTTCTTATCAAGCATTGTAGCCTCCTTTGTTTCCCCTTCCCATCCCATCCCCCCACAATCCTCCCCCCCCCCGCACCCCCCCCCCCCACACCAAAGTTGTAAAGTTCGTTTTCGACATAATGGCTTGTATATCTCATTGTCACAATAGGTCCACCTGTATCCCTATTTAAACGATTTGTTTTTTCCCTTCCCCTCCACAAATTATACCGACATCAAATACAGTGAAAGCAGGGGTTATACCGTGGGGGAGGGACATACAAAGCAACAAAAAAATAATCTTATAAATGTGTTAGAAACAATCGCATAAAAGAAAAAACATTTAAATACATATCTTAGGGTTCATTTCCCTAACATCAACTTATCTGACCTTTTCTGCTTGACTCAGACATATACTAGATATTGCAAATAAGGGAAACCATGGGACCTATGTTTCTTTGGGCCTGGCTTACTTCACTTAATATAATTTTTTTGGAAATGGGGAAAGCTACTGACTTTTGTGGATTGATTTTATACCCTGCTACTTTGCCAAAGTTATTTATTGGTACTTCAGACTTATAAAAATATTTTAAATAAGATTTCAGATTATTTACAGCTGTAAGAGTTTTGTTATTGCTTCGCTTTGTTGTGTTTTTGTGAAGTTGACTTAAGAAAAAAATGAATAAGATTGCTATAAATTCTTGTTGAAGCAGATAAGGGAAACTGTGGATCTTGAAACTTATTCCTGCAAATTATCTCTGCCCACAGATCCTTCTAAAAGTTTTCATATATAGCTGGGTATGAACATACCTGTTTTGAAAATTTTGATTTGGAGTTTAAAAGCTCAGCTAATCTGTAAGAAGAAATTCTTGGGAGGGAAGTTAGAAATGTGCTTTTGAAATAGATAAATTAGTGTCTTAGTCTTTTTCCTCTCGAAGACTAGAAATACCAATTCCAGCCTTAAGTACTCCCATTGTTGCCATACTTGTGAAGAAAAGTCACCGAGATGACATGGATTGGAAAATCATAAAGTAGCCCATGATGTTTGCTTCAATAGTTACCATTGCCTTGACAAGAAGCTACCTTGGATGCATGGAGTCCTGCTAGGGCATGTTTGGTGAATTCACTGAAAAAATGTTTTCAGTCTCTTGAGGTTATCTTTCCCTACTGTAATTGGCATTGCTTTTTTTTTTTCTTTTTGGCAGTCTTGGGGCTTGAACTCAGGGCCTGGGTGCTGTCCCTGAGCTTCTTTTGCTCAAGGCTAACACTCTGCCACTTGAGCCACAGCGCCATTTCTGACTTTTTCGGTATATATGGTACTGAGGAATCGAACCCAGAGCTTCATGCATGCTAGGCAAGCTCTCTACCACTAGGCCACATTCTCAGCCCTTGGCATTGCTTATTAGTCTTCTCAGTAATAGTTGAGACTACTCATGGTAAAATAATTTAAAAAGTAAATAGAAGGGCTGAGAAGATGGCTCAGTGATAGAGTACTTGCCTTGCATGCATGAGGCCCTGGGTTCAATTCCTCAGCACCACATAAGCAGAAAAAGCTGAAGTAGTACTGTGGCTCAAGTGATAGAGCACTAGCCTTAAGCAGGGCAGCACCCAGGCCCAGAGTTCAGGCCCCACAACCAACCAAAAAAAGTCAATAGAAGATTCCCTCTCACTAAAGATTATCATTGTTAAGAACAAGTCATCACAAACACCTATACAGTTTCATGCAACACACATAAGTTCACGTAATATAAACTTTTTTTACCTAATATATAGAGATTACTTTTTTTTAATTTAATTTTATTTTATTTGTGAACATACTGTACAGAGGGGTTACAATTACATGGGCAGGATAATGCGTACATTTCTTACCAAGCATTGCAGCCTCCTCCTTTGGTTTACCCTTCACATCCCTTCCCAGTAGAGATTACTTTTTTATAGGAGAAAAAGTCACTCTGTATTGAAATAGTCTCCTATGAATATATATATATATATATATATATATATATATATATATATTTGCATACCACATAATTATAGGTATAGGATAAATTCTGAATGGTGGAATCACTGGCCAGAGAGATTGCTTTATGCATTTTGATAGTATATTGCTCAGTTACCATCTCAAAAAGCTAGCAAAAAACTTGTTTTTCAACATCCTCATGAACATAGGATATTACTAAACTTAAGTTTATGTCCCTCTATTAAGTGATGTTTGGTATCTTAATTGTTTAGATTTGAGATTCATTCATTGTGTGAAGTTGTGCATCCCTGTATGTATATGTGTGTGTGTGTGTGTGTGTGTGTGTGTGTGTGTATTTTGTTACTGAAAAAATTTATTCCTAGTAACATTAAAATGGAAGTGTTCTAGCTGTTTACAAAAGTAAGTCACATGTTTGAAAGGCATAGAGAAGTGAAATTGCCATGTGCCTTGAAGGAACAAACATTGAGTGAAGAAAATTAGTGAATAATACAATATTCAGAGTTAACCAAAGGAAACCTAATTAGGGTAAGGTCACTGACTACCAGCATTACACACAAAGAGGTATTAGATTGTCTCTAATAGTGAAAGAATCAGATTGAGGTAAATTTGTTTGTATTTACATTCCTGGAGTCTGGATACTATGAATTTATGATGATTAGGGTTAGAGGTCAAGATAAAGTTTTAATAGAGGAGAGATGGATGAGAGGGAACAAGCAGAGTCCTGGAGATTAGAACTCATTTGAAAGGAAATTTGGAGACTGATTTTAGATGACTTCAGTCTTACATGGTTGCTATTGCTGAACCACATCCTGTGTTTCACTTGAGTTTAAGTTCACTTCATCGTTTTGAATTCTTTTTTTTTTAATTTTTACTTAATTTTTATTGTGAAAATACTGTACAGAGGGGTTACAATTAGATGGGCAAGATAATGAGTACATTTCTTCATCGTTTTGAATTCTGAGATACCTGAAAGAGATGATTCTTAGCTTGAGCCTCTTGGAGAAAATGTAGGCTATGAATACACAGAAAGGAATGGCAAAGGATTCTGAATTAAAGTGATAAGGGATGGATGAATATAACCAGTGGTATAACTGGATGAAAGTGGTAAAAAAAATAAAACTTTCTTAAAATAGAATGAAACAGAAGAATCACTAAGAGGAAATCACACAAGGATCCTCATTTGCTATTATCATTACATACTTAATATTACCTGTTTTAATCATGAATATATTAAGCACCATAAGTCTTTAATGCATTTAAATAGCTCCCTGTCTTGTAGCTTTCTATTATTGATGGCTAACACTCAGTTTACTATAGATAAAGATTAATTTAGATTTATTCTATAGTTATATTTATATTTGAAACTCTAATTTAAATCTAAATGTTATTCAAACTTCTTGCCCGAATTTTATCCTAACAGTTTGAATTAGGGGCAAAATATTTAAAGACTTACATAGTAAAGCAGAATTCATTTGGGCCTATATTCCTGTGTTTCTTTGCACATTAAATGGGATGTTATATTTAGGAACCTACAGTTAATATAAAATGGTCAGATTTGGTTTGTTAAGCATAGCTGGGATCAGAATAGTACAGTGAATCAACTATAGCCCAATGCTCACATTATACCTAAATATTTCAGATAAAGGATTTCAAATCAAGAGTATATATTCTTAGAGTAACAAATCAAATTTATATATCATGCCTAGACTTACCTTGAATTTCATACCCACTGGTCTTTGGACATCTTCTTCAAGCCCCCCTAGCAGGTTTCTAAGAAACATGCTATAAGTAGTCTCTGATTTCTTCTAAGGAATCATTTGGTATACTGTCCTTTGCACAAGCATGCTACATTGTTTTCTCAAGACTGAATATTTTCCCTGTAAACGTTGGCATAATGTAAGTGATATTACATAAGAGATGTGAGTCATGGCAGGGCAGGGAGTATGCTTCACTGGGCATCAGAAAATTTGATATTTATTCAGCATTATAGTTTTCTAAACTGTAATACCAACTTTTTTCTAAACTATAACATCCATTAGGGTAATAAAGTTTCTTCGGTGAGACCAACCAATGTACTGGAAATGATGAAAGAATGGAAAAATAACCCAGAAAGTGATGAGGAAAACAAGACAGATGAGAAGACTAATTGGTCCTTTCAAGAAAAATTGAAAAGCAATCAATTCAGGAAAAAGTCCCATGATGTCCATAACACTTCACTTGAGAAGGAAGAAAAACAGGTAGGAAAAACCATCAAAACAAGTAGGAAGAGCAGTTGTCTCATTTTTCCAGACCATAAAATCTTCCCAACATTGGAAACTTTCTACAGTTGTCTTTGTAACTAAGGACCTGTATTATATAGTAAGTAAAGTTCTTTATGCTTTATAGGTTATCATGATTTAGTAACATGGCAGAAGTGTTTGAAATCTGTGGTTATGAGCCAGGTACTGGTGGCTCACAATTGTAATTCTAGTTATTTAGAGGGCTGAGATCTGAGAACATGGATTGAAGCTAGCCTGGGCAGGAAAGTCCACGAGACTCTTATCTCCAATTATTCACCAAAAACCTGGGAGTGGAACTGTGGCTCAAATGGTAGAGCACTAATATTGAATGAAGTTAAAGGCTTTAGGCTTTTTTAAGGATCAAAGGAACATATATCATTGCATACAGCTATTGGTTGAGAAGGGTCTTATGTGTATATCTGGGTGACCTTGAACCATGATCCTCCTGAGCTCAGCTACCCAAGTAGCTGGGATTATAGTCATGAGCCATTGTATCAGGCTGAAATTCACATTCTTAAAAGTTTTCATTAAGATTTTAACCCATTGATTATAGTCCTAGCATATGTAAACAACTCAAATTCTAATTATTTTCTTACCTTGTTGAAGTAACTGTGAGCAGCAAAAGTCACATTACTTAGTGACTTGAAGGTCTAGAAGGTAGGAGGAAGGTGTAACTGAATAATGGAAAAGAATACTGACAACATTTGGTTACCAAGCAACAAACATATAACTCAAGACTGCTAAAATATGTGTATATGCATGTGAATAATACTTGTTTAGACATGTGTGTGAATATCTACAAACATATATGTTACATGAATGGCGTATATGGGATGTATATTTGTAGACATGTATACCAATATATGTGTTATCTTTTCAAAATAGAAAAGTCTTCAAACTAAATTCACAAAGAAATGTGACTGAGATTTTAGGATATTATCTTTAATGAATATGAAACACACATCCTAATAACAGGTCCTGCTATTATTCAATAAGTTCATGTTTATACTATGGTAATGATTATTTTCAAATAATTTTTGTCAGCCTCGTTATTTAGACATGTGCTCTCTGGTAGTATTCATCAAGAAATAGATCACTCTCAGTTTTGTTCTGCAAGTTTCTAAAAGAAGTCTCATTCTGGATGTGTGTGAGCAAGCAATGGTGCATTCTTCTGGACTGGGTCAGATTTCACCCTATTAGTCTCTCTCCACATATGCTTCTCTGCAGACTACATAGAATTGAAAAGGAGATCCCTCATAAGAGTTTTAGACTATTCTGAGGCAAACACAGCCCCACCTAACAGGATCCATATTTTAAACAAGAGCTAAAAGATACACATAAAGAAAACTTTTCTGTAAACATATACAAAAGGTGTGATGTCTTGAACAAACTTGGTCAATTGTCCAATTAATGGACAAGAATCTAGAATTAATCAAAATGGTAAATTATATTAATTAAAAAGAATGAAGGTGTGTTCAGATTTAATGATCCTGGACCACAATTCTACTTCAGGATACCTGTAGTTGCTGGAATGATGGAAGTCCACTACCATGTTTTCTGTTGAGATAGCATCTCATGGACTTTTCTGCCTAGGCTGGCTTGAAATCATAAACCTCCCAACCTCAGCCTCCAGTATAGCTAGGATGACAAGAGAAGGTTCTTATAAAATTAGACACAAAGGTTAATATAATAATTATATTTTTCCTAGATGATACATAAACCAATTACAAATTCTATAGCTTGGTACAGTGCAGGAATCATTATTTCAGACTCACAGGTAAAATCTGGCATGCCACTTGTTTTACCATTTTACCAAATGTTTAATTGGAACATAGTCAACTCATTCATGTTGCCTATGGAAATTTTCATACAATACCACCAGAGTTAAACATTTAGGACAGAAACTATTCCTGGTCAGTCCAGGTGGAAAATGTGGTGAGACTACGTCTCAATGGAAGAAGCTGGGAATGACTGCATTTCTGTCATCACAGCAACCATAGGAATCCTAAAGTAGGAAAATTGTGTTCCAGGATCATTCCTGAGCAAAATAACCAGTACAGCCATGTGCCAGTAATCCTGGATACTCAGGAGGCTTAGATATGAGGGTGGATCAAAACCAAAAAGAAAGTCTGTGAGACTATTATCTCCAATAAACTATCTCCCCCCAACCAGGAGAAGTGGAGCTCTAGCTCAAGTGGTAGGGCACTAGCCTTGAGCAAAAAATGCTCAAGGACAGCTAGCGTGCGTGCATGCACACACACACACACATACACACACACACACACACACACACACACACACACACACACACACACACTACATAAAAGGGCTGGCATGACTTAGCAATGGAGATTCTGCCCAGTGACCCTGAATTCCAACCCCAATGTCAATACCACCACCAAAATGCATAGATTTCATCAACAGGAAGAATTTTCCATTCTCAGAGCTTTTCAGCAGTGGAAACGTTGTTCCATGGGTAGCAAACTCCCTCCTAATCGCTGAACATAGTCAAGCAGACTTGGTATGTACTGTAGCAATTTAGTTTATCAAAATTATTAATTAAACGCAAGTAGCATTCTCCAACTTCTCAGTGAGATTTTGAAGTTATAAAGTAAAGCTTAGTCACACTACACTGCTGCAGTCCTCTAGGTGCCCAGGAGCCAGCTTGGAAGCACTGAAAGAGACCCACCATGGAGCCCTGACAGGAAACAGGTAAAGCCATGATGGACAGTGCAGTTCTGCCACTAGCCTCAGATGCATCTTAGTATGAGTTCAAAGGAAATCCAGTTGGGAATCTCAATGTGATCCTAAGCAGAATGAGAATAACAGCAAACACAGAGCCTGACACAGTGTCACAGATGTGAGAACCATGGGAGTCAAGAGAAGGACAACCTGGAAAGAGATAACAAACTTAGCAAGTGTGCAAATTACAGTGTAGAAGTACAATTTGAAAGAATGAAAAATCAGGCAATGTAACTCTTCCACAGGTCAACAACTTCACAGTAAGGGATATTAATGATAGTGAAGTGGTTGAAATACAAAGAACTCAAAAGAATGATTATGACTTATAAACAAAATTAAAAAGAGCACATATAAATACTTTAACGAATTCAAAGACAATACAAATAAAACACTGAGTGGATTCAAAGAGGATACATGTAAGCAGCTAAATGAAATAAGGAAGACAACATAAGATATGGAATGAAAATTCTAGAGATATGGAAATCTTTAAAAATATCCCATTGAAATTCTGGGAATGAACATATATATATATATATATATATATATATATATATATATATATATATATATATATAAATGTGTGTGAGTGTGTGTAAGTCAAAATTTAAAAACAATTGAAAACTCTCTACCAATTGAATTGACCAAGTTGAAGACATAATATCAGGGCTTTAAGACAAGGAAAAGGAATTTTAACATTCAGTTTAAAAATATGGAGAGAATATGTAAGAATTCTGGTATAACATTAGAAGACCAAACTTATGAATCATGAACCTAGAAGAAGGAGAAAGAGGTTTGTACTTAGTAAATCTATTAAACAAAATAGTAACAGTTTCCCAAATCTTGACAAAGAAATGGTCATCCACGTGCAGGAGGCTTTTTAGACACTGAACATGGGAGACCAGAAAAGAACTTCTCGAAGATATATTAAAGATAAACATTAAGTATGCAGAATAAGGAAAGAATATTGAACATCACAAATGCCAAGTCACCTGTGAAATCAAATCCATCCGAACAATATGTTTTTTCACTCTAAAAGTAAAGAAGGCAAAAAGTGACCCACGTCAAGCTTTGAAAGAAAATAACTGCCAACACAGATCACTCTATCAAAACTAGCCTTTGTAATTGAAGGAGTAATATAAACCTTATGTGATAAGCAAAGATGGAAGGAATACAGGACCACTAAGCTAGTGCTGTACAAGATACTTAAAAGATCTTACCAAAAAGGAAGATAAGTGTCAATTATAAAAATATAAGAAAGAATAATTCTCATAAAATGAGTAGATAAGCAGATGAAGACAATGAAATAATCAAACATTATGAAAACACAAATGACAGGAATGACTACATGACTTTTAATTATAACTCTGAATGTTAATGGTCTCAATTAAGCAGTAAAAAGACACAGGCTTACAGGTTGGAATTAACCCCACCATTTGTTGCCTACAAGAAATGTGCCTCACTAGTACAGACAAATACAGGCTTAAAGTGAAGATAGAAAACTAATTCCAAGAAAGTTGAGCCTAAAAGCAAGTAGGAGTAGCTATATTCATATCTGACAAAACAGATTTCAAATAAAAATTAATCAGAAGAGACAAAGGTCACTTTATATTGATATAGAATATAACAATTGTAGGCACATATGTACCAAACATGGGCACACACAGTTTAATACAACAAATGGTTCTGTACATAAAGTGCAAATAGCACAATAAAAGTGACTTACTTCAGTTTCCATTTCTCACAAATAGATCATACTTACAAAACAAAAATCAATAGATAGACAAGTGCTAGTGGTTCACACCTAGCTACTCAAGTGGCTTAGATCACAGTTTAAAGCCATACTGGGCAGAAAAGTGGCTTAGATCACAGTTTAAAGCCATACTGGGCAGAAAAGTCCATAAGACTCCATCTCCAAAATGAACAGCAAAAAGTCAGACTGGAGGTGTGGCTCACATGGTAGCACACCAACTGAACAAACAAGGAAGTCAAACATGTACAAAGCTAGGCTAAAACCCTAGTACTGGCAAAGGCAAAAAGAAAAAAAGGAAATTTCAGAATTAAATGTCAGTGTATATTAAATGGACATAACATATCCACAGAATATACCACTCAAAAGCTCAAGAATACACAATCTTCAGTCACCTCTGGAGCTATCTTCAAGGCTATGAAGTATACTCTAACAAACACAAAAAAAAGGAAACAATCTCCTGTATTTT